ATATATTCTCCCTTTTTTTTCTTTTGTCATTCTTTTCCTGTCTGCATTTCAGTTTGGGAAGTGTCTGTTGACAAAACTTCAAGCTCACTGGGCTGTGTCCAGTCAACTCACCGTTGTGTCCAGTCAACTCACTAAGACTGTTACTCATATCTGTGTGGCGTATTTTTTTTTTCCTGACGGTCCTTTCTGAATCTTCCATAGAGTGTCCTTTTCTGTGCTTCCACATCGTCTACTTTCTCTGTGAGGTCCTTGAACATATGCGTTTGTAGTTACTGTCTCATTAAGTCTCGAACCTGTATCCTCTCTTCCTCTGAGAGTTGCTTTGTCTTCTCAGGCTGTGTTTTTTTTCTTGCCTTTCAGCGTATCTTGGCAATTTCTGTTGAAAGCCGGACCCGATATAGTGCATAATAGGAAACAAGATAATTAGGTTGCTAATGTGAGGTTAATCTGGCGAGAAGCTGGCTGTGTTTGATATTTGCTGTAGCTGTAGGTCCTGAAGGCTTTTGTTTTCTCTAGTTTCCTTTTTTTTTTTTTTTTTTAACCCTCTGTGGTCTTTGGGTTTCCCTAAGAACTCCTTAGTAAATAAAATCACTGTCTTTGTATTCTCAGTTGTACTCCACCGGTGCACTGGAGCCCGTGGATAGGGTGGCAGGGTGTCAGAGGAGAAGCCATCTATTATGCTGTTACTGGATCTCCATTTTGTAGGACCTGAGTTCCCAGTCTGACCTTCAGAAGCATTTCTTAGACTTTTTTTTTTTTCTTGCCTTACCAGAGATGGGAAGGCTAGATGAGGCTGGAGTTGTCTTAATTTCCCCTTTCTCAGCTCAGATGTGGCTCTGGAAGCCTCCCTGAGAGGGCGGGCCTTTGTTATGGAGGATGCTTTCTGCGTATTCTAGAAGGGTTACTTCCCCCTCTCCCTACCCCCAAACAGGAGGGGATTTCTGTCTGGTAGAGACAGAATGCGGTAGGCTCCTCACGTAAAATCTATGAAAATCTATGAAAATCTATGAAAGTAGGGGGTCCTTCTAAGACTGGGCCCCCAAGATTTATCTCCTGAGCTAGTTCACAGTCAACTTCCTGCAGTTTATCAGAATTATCATGCAAGTGTTCCTACCGATTATTAGCTAAGGTGGTTTCTGCACCTGCTAAGCTGGTCTACTTAGCTGTGAATCTCTGTGTTCACCTTGTCTCTCCAGATTTCGGGGTGGCGGCACACCCCATGACCTCCATTCCCGGAAGGGTCTACGGAAAGTCTTTGGTCTTCACTTTGTTCAACTTCTCTCCTGTGAGGGTGGCAGCGATGATGTCCAAGCGCTTTCCGTGGCAGAGCTGAGACTCCGAGTCCTGTCCTCCAAGTTCTAAACCTCGTTGCCTTCCTTTGTTTTCCCTGGAAGCAGACTCTGAGACTAGGATTCTCATGCCAGCAACTTATCTCCATGGCGGTCCCAGGAAAACCCGAGAGAGGTATGGGAAGCACGACTGGGAAGGGAAAGAGTGAACACAGTCTGCATCGCTAAGTAGGCCGTCCCTGTGGCCAACTGAGGCTTAGCTGTGCCGCAGAACTCTTAGAAGAGGGGACCGAGCACGGTAAAGTCATCTCACCAAGGGGGAGGGAGCTGGGGTATTTATACGCCTCCTCCTCCCAGTCATTCGCCCAGAGCCCCAGAGGGTGGAAGTAGGAGAAGGACCAGAGGGGGTGCTGAGCAGGCTCCAAAAGCCAGGAGACAAGCCCCCAGGCAAAGAGCTGCACGTGCTGGAGGTCAGAGGTCAGGAGGTGGCAAGGCTGACTGGACCAAGGCCAAGGCGGGAGGAGAGTAACTGCCACAGGGTTGCTCTGCCTCTAGAATGAGGAATACTGGGGTCCGTGGGCGGCTCAGTCAGTTACGCAGCCGACTCCAGCTCAGGTCATGGTCTTGTGCTTCATGGACCCAAGCCCCGCGTCGGGCTCTGTGCTGACGGCTCGGAGCCTGGAGCCTGCTTTGGATTCTGTGTCTCCCTCTCTCTCTGCTCCTCCCCTGCTTGCGCTCTGTCTCTCTGTCTCTCTCTCCCAAAAATAAACACTAAAAAAGTTAAAATTAAATGAGGAATTACTTCCTTTGCTGAGCAGACCCCACTCTGATTCTTCGGCGAGCAAACCGCTGTAAGTTTTCGGATCTGAAGAGAGAAAAGCGTTTCGAAGCATTGGTCAGCTGTCCTCTTAATTCTCCACCCAACACAGTGCTTTACCGTCTGTTTTTTTTTTCTAGGTCTCTGTCATTGGTACGTAGATGTGACATTAAAACACGTCCAATTATTTATCTCCCTCCCAAAAGATGGAGTCTAGTTCCCCTCTCCTACTTGTGACCTGGCCTCAGTGGGCCTCTCCTTTTTTCTTTCTTTCTTTTTTTTGATGTTTATTTATTTTTGAGAGACAGGGAGAAACCGAGTCAGAGCAGGGGAGGAGCAGAGAGAGAGGGAGATACAGAATTTGGAGCAGGCTCCAGGGTCTGAGCCCGATGCGGGGCACAAACCCGCGAACCGTGAGATCATGACCCGTGCCAAGGTCAGACGCTTAACCAGCCAAACCACCCAGGCGCCCCTCAGTGGGCCTCTTCTAATAAATAGGATGTGGTGGAAATAGGATGCAGTGATTTCTAAGGTCCTGCTTCTACTAGGGATGCTCGCTCGCTCTCTCTCCCTCCCTCCATCCCTCTATCTCCCTCCCTCCCTCTCTTTCTCTTAACTCACACCTTGGGATCCCTGAGCTGACATGCGGGAAGTCCAGTTACACTGGAGGGAGCATATGGGCCGTCCACATAGAAACACAGTGAGAAGCCCAGGGAGCCCCAGCTGTTTGGAACTTTCCAGCCCAGGCCCAGATGTGCGCAAGCGAGTCATCAGCTGATTCCAGAGCCATCCCAGCTGACACCAAGGGGAACGGAGATGAGCTTAACTCACCAAACTCCGACAAAATTGCAAAAATCATGTGCAAAATAAATGTCGCTGTTGTTGTAACCTGTCGCCAAGCGGAGCAGAGACCCGCTGTCCCCACTGAGCCCTGCCAGATTGCAGACTCGGGGCGAAATAAATGCCACAAAATTCGGGGATAGCTTGGCACGCAGCCATAGTACCTCGACATATAACCGTGACACTCAACCCCCCACATTCTTCCTTGCTGATGGAACCCAGACTTTATCTGGGGGCAGCGATGTACCCTGCCTGATTCAGCCAGTCACGGCAATCCTATTCTAGCTTTGTCAGCCTCCTTTGTCCTGTGGGGGCAGGGCGGGGGGCAGGGGGTAGGCTGAGTAACCCAGTTCTGCCGGTGAAACACAAGCGGGAGTCTGTGGGGAGGAAGCCTCTGGGGAAATGTTAGCATTCCTGATGGCATTGGTCTTCCAGCTGCAACCACAGAACGTCTTGCCCCCACGAGAGGGGGGTCAAGACAACCACATTTGTGGGAGCCCTGACATCTGTGAACAAACTGGACTCCCGCAACAGCCAGTATCTGGAATTCTTGGAAGGTGAGAGGGAATTCACTGACATCTTCGAGCAGTTGAACTACACCAGCTGTGGCCAAGCTCCAGCCTGCCTTTACTAGGAGAAACTTGAAACCTCTGTTTATGCTTTTCGTTGCCTGGTTTTGGGGGAGGAGGGGGTTGGTTTTCTGCCTGGTTTTGTTTTAGTTTTACAGGACGGCCCCTGTGGGATCGTTTCGAGAGTGAGAGCCATCTGGAACCTCTGAGCTGGCATGGCTTTTTGGTTTTGGCGGGTAAGGACGGACGGAGAGCCAACAACCCTGAGCCAAGTTCTGTGGACATAGCCAGGAGACTGTGTCAAAGGGGCTGAGCGTTGGTCCTTTTGGCCGTCGCCTTTGGGGCAGGGTGACATCCAATCGTGCCCCAGTCGGGTGGTGATGGTGGGGATGACAGGTGTGGGGGGGGCAGGGATGTTGATGACGATGTTGGTGGAGATGATGATGGTCGTTATAAAGGTGATGGTAAGTGGGGGCGACGGTAACGTCAATGATGATGTTGATGATGATGGTGGGGATAATGATGGCGGTGGTGGCAATGACAGGATGCTATTAAGAGCCGATACGGGGGCGCCTGGGTGGCGCAGTCGGTTAAGCGTCCGACTTCAGCCAGGTCACGATCTCGCCGTCCGTGAGTTCGAGCCCCGCGTCGGGCTCTGGGCTGATGGCTCGGAGCCTGGAGCCTGTTTCCGATTCTGTGTCTCCCTCTCTCTCTGCCCCTCGCCCATTCATGCTCCGTCTCTCTCTGTCCCAAAAATAAATAAACGTTGAAAAAAAAAATTTAAGAGCCGATACGTACACGGTGGCTCAGTCGGTTGAGCCTGTGACTCTTGATTTCGGCTCAGGTCACGGTCCCAGGAGGGGTGTGGGATCGAGCCCCATGTGAGGCTCCATGTGTGAAGCCTGCTTTGGATTCTCTCTTTCCCTCTCCCTCTGCCCCTCCCCCCCCACCCCCGCACACACTCTCTCTCTTAAAAAAAAGACATTAGGGATTACATATGGAATTACCTATTACAAAAGATCTTAGATAGTAGTGTGGCACTTTATGCCAGACCCTGTTGTAGCCCAATATACCTACATACTAATTCCGGAAGCTCTAGGACTTAGGTGCTATTAGTCCCTTTTTTATTTTTATTTATTTTATTTTTTATTATTATTATTTTTAAACATTTATTTATTTTTGAGACAGAGAGAGACAGAGCATGAACGGGGGGAGGGCCAGAGAGAGAGGGAGACACAGAATCTGAAGCAGGCTCCAGGCTCTGAGCTGTCAGCACAGAGCCCGACGCGGGGCTCGAACTCACGGACCGTGAGATCGTGACCTGAGCGAAGTCGGACGCTCAACCGACTGAGCCACCCAGGCGCCCCTTTTTTTTTTTTTTTTTAGTCCCTTTTTTAAAACAGGAGCAGAGAAGGTCAGTAACTTGCTCAAGATCTCGTAACTCGTCAGTGCTGAGTGTGCATGCCCTTTCTCGGAAGAGGGAACCATCTCCCAGGAGCCCAACAGACATTACGTACCCACTTTGTTGGTTGCAATGGTTATGATCTGTCATCTGGGAGGAATGTACATGGGGTTGAAGAACTATAGACTCCTTACTTCACTGATTTCCTGGGGGGGTGGGGAGGGGGAGGGAAAAGTCCTGAGTTACCCTGGTCTTGGGGTGTCTTCATCCAGGCCACCACCAACCCAGCTGTCGGAGTTCACAAAGTTGAATCAATCTCTCTCCCCCCCCCCCAAATCAAGAATCCCTCTGTAGCTCCCCATTGCTGAAGGGTTAAACCAGAGTTTCTCAATCTCAGCTCTATTGACATTTTGAACCGGATAGCCCACTGCCGTGGGCGGCTGTCCTGTGCATTGTAGAATATTTAGTGGCATGTTTGGCCTCTACTCACTAGATGCCAGAAACATCCTCCAGCTGTGACCATCATCATGTCTCCATGTGTTGCCAAATGCCCCCTTGTTCGGGGAGGGGGAATCACGTGGCCCCCACTTTAGAACCCCGGGGTTAAAGGAAACAGGCTTCCCACCTATAGAAAGCGATTTGACCACAGGTCTTAGAAGACCCTCCCAGCAGACAGTGGGCTCCCCAAAGGGTAGGGTCCCAGCCTTACTCCTTGTTTCTAGTCCCTTGAGGTTGATCTGTAGCTCGTAGCAATGACGACTCAAGAAATAGTGCTCAGTTCAGGCGTAACCAGACTGTAGTCGGGGATGAAACTGTGCAAACAGAGAGCATGGGGAGTACTGAGGGGGGGGGGGGCTCTGGAAGAGGTCCTAAGGACATCTCTGAAGAGGAGAGGCCTGCAGTTGGAAGCAGAGGAGCCTTCTGGCGGAGGCAGAAGGGAAGACGGGCATCTGAGGCAAAAGGCAGCGTGGGGCGTTCAAGTCCACCCCGGGGAGTGCCGCGGTGGGGTGAGCCGTGCGGCTCAGGAGCTGTTACAAAAAGATCTTGAACACGAGGATTGGGTGACGTGGAGCCTCGAAGAATTCCAAACCAAGGCATGAGAGGCCCAGCCTTGGCTTTTAGAATAACCTCTGTCTGTGGCAGCTGTGTGGATGGAGACACAGCTGGGGACCAGCTGGGACAATAATCCAAGTGAGAGCAGGGGCCCAGTGGAGGGGAGAGCAGGAGGCAGAGTCCTCCTATTTCCTTGTGCGTAAATTCTGATCCTTTCCAAGCGTGTAAAGGCAGATGTAAAATTTCCAGCCCCTAATAAGAGGTTAGTAATAGAACTTTCTTCCCCGTCCGCTCTGCACCGCGGTTTACGCAGTTTCTGGGCTAGCTGTGCGTTTCCTCCTTTCCTCAGTCTGGGAAAGCATCTTCTTCCATAAGGACCTGATGCCTCCTCACTGGAGAATTCTTGAGCCCGAGACAGAGGCTCCCTCCTCAACAGGCTGAGGGCATGTTACAATTCGTTTGTTTTCTCTGTTAGACAGTGAGCATTTTGAGGCTATGACTTTTGTCTTGCCCATTAATTCCTGGAACCAGTATTGAATGGGCACCTGCTACGTGCCAGGCACTGGGATACGGCTGTGAACACCTGTCTTGTATCCCGAGCACCCACAGAGGGCCCGGTGACTGAGTGAGTGAGTGAGTGAGTGAGAATGTATGGAGAGTGGGGCAGGAGAGGAAGGCTGAGGCCTGGAGAGGTTCCGTGAGTTACCTGTGACTGTCTGGCAGGAAGTGGCCGAGGAGGAGCTAAAGCCCCAGACAATGAAAGAACATGGAAACCAGGGCTTGGCACACAGTGGGGCTCCATTCCGGGTGCTCTCCTGTGAGGTTTTCTGTTTTCCCAGAGCTGCCCCCACCTTCAGCAGGACCAGGCATGGCTTTGCCTCTTCAGCTGGTTGATCAAAGACGTAGGAACTATGCGCATGTTTGTGGGGGATGTGAGTGGCTTGTCTCCCACACACACTTGTCCCCATGCTGCAAAGTAACGGCCTGCTTTCCCTCCGGGGATCTGCCCACCCTCAACTCTCCACGCACATGCATGCACGGGACTCGATGCCCAGCCTAGGATGGGAACGTGTGGTCCAGACCTCTGTCATTCAGTGGACCTGGTGCCACGGGCCTCAAGGCTACCGAGCTTGGTCAGGGGGCAAGCATGTGACCCGAGTGCCCTCCGCGCGTGTCCAATCGGGCTGAGCTTCAAGGCTATGGTGGGCCTCTGGGACAAGAGCACGTACACCCTTTGGCAACTGGACGCGAGTGCGGAAGGTGCGGATTTTCACTTCGTTGCCTTTGGGTGCCATCAAATAACCACCAGGTGAGGTCCTTTCTATCAATGGAAACCCACAGAAGGAAGTCAAGAGACGGAGAAAGAGAGAGTGAAATTACATCCCGATGTTCGGTGTTTCTGTCTGAGCTCCCGGATCCAGCCAGGTCGGAAGCCAGCAAGATCTCCCCCTACCTACATTTTGGTTATTTTCTCAAGCCAGTCTATTGGATTTACAGTCTTAACTCTTGTGGTGCTTTATTGGCTGCTCAGCCTGTAGCAGGGAAATCTTGGTACTGGTGAGTCTCCGGTGGGAGGAAGTAGGAACGCAGCATGGAAAAGCTGTCGACAGGGTGACCTCCCCCCTCCAACATTGTGGCTGTTTTGCAAGAGGAAGGCATCAGAACACCAGACCCTTGAACAAGGGACAAGCCAATGTATGTGCTGCATTCCCAGAGTATATTTCCTAAACGGGGTGGCCTCCTGGTTCCAGACTTTCTTTTTGGGTCTTCTCGCAGACTCTGGCACAATCAGTGCTTCCTGTCCTTGGTGACGTCCTTCACTCCTCCTTGAGTGCTGTCCCTGTCTTTAGCTCAACTTACTTCTGGCTGATTCTCCTACCTCCTCCTTGTCTCAGGACACTCAGAGATGCCTCTGGAAATGTCACTCCTCCAGACTGGACTCAGCCCTGTAGCTCTCATTTCTTGGAAATTCACCATGTGCCCAGTGCCATGTAATCAACTGAGGCCCAGAGAGGTTGGGTAACTTGCCCCAGGTCTCACAGCTAGTGAGTGGGGAAAGCGAACTATACCCTGTACCTCCCCTACTCCACAGCCCGTGCCTTTAACCACTCTGGGATTCTATCCAGAGGCTGTACCTATGGGCTTCCTTGCCTCGAGGGCAGGACCCAGACCAAAATGAACTAATGTCCTAACCTGAGACCTGTTTTTCCCACCATAGTAGATGCTGTCAATGCCCCGCCCCTAACCCCTAGCACTTACCAGTCCAGCTTCTGGATGCAAGCACCAGTGACTCGACCCAAGGACATTCTCTGGCCACAGGAGACAGCTTAGCCTGTACAGAGGGCGAGGAGAAGCGTCAGAGACTTAGGGCCCACGGAGGCAAGTCGCAGCCAACGGTGATTGGAATTGGCAGGTAAATCGCCCAGTTTCTTGCATCCCAGGTCATTTGTCAGGGACAAGTTGAAGGCATGCTCTGTGGTGTCCCAGAGGCTCCAGAGAGACGGAGCTTGGTCCCCCAGCATTAACCTGCTCACTAACGCTCCTGCATGGGCTCCCTTCCCTCCCCCATCACTTCCCCTCCCTCTCACAGTCTTTTCTGGGATCCCTTCACAGATACATTGTGTTCCAGTCCTTGTCTCAGAGGCTTCTGGGGCTACCTAACCTAAGACAGCCACCTTCTGTAGCATCCTTGATAGTCCTCCGGTGAGCCACCCTCCCTGAACCTCAGTCCATATAAATTAGGTAGGATTGACTCCACCCCAGCTCAAAAGCGGGCAGGTGACTCGGGAGGGGCCAATCAGAACTCTGTGGTCCCTTAGCCTTAGTGATTTGGTAAGAGACTGGGCATGTGACTCATTGGAGCCAGAGAGACTCTGAGAATCTTCTGGAGCTGCTAAAATAGAGAGTTCACCTGTGCTGTCCACAGGTGTCTCACCTGTGCCACCTGGAGGATGTGGGGCTGGAGCCCTGGCAGCCATCTTGCGTGAAACCAGCTTACTGCATCTGAATATACAAAGACAGAACATGTGTTGTAGGCAGTTGCAATGATGGTCTCTCTTAACCCTCCCTAGACACCCTCCCTGACGTGTAACTCACCGGTGCCTCTGACTTGGACTCCAAGCTCCACCATGTGACTCGTTCTGGCCAATAGGATGTTAGCAGATGTGATGGCGGGGGGGTGGGGAGGGGGGTGCAGAAGCATGGTTTGCTTCCAAGATTGGATTTATTTGTATTTCTGCCCTTGCCACGAGGATGCCTCAAGGCTGGGCCCATGCACAGGATAAGAGATAATGTGGAGTAGAGTTGCTTCATCTGTCAAGCCGTGACCAGTCTAGATTGGCCAACAGCCAGCCATGCCCAGACATGCAAGAGCCCAGCCAAGGCCAGCAGAGTCACCTGGCCAACCATTGTCCCATGGGCAGCATTACTATAGCAGTATGTATCTGATGCAATTCTCAGTTAAATTAGCAAGTTGAAGCCATACAGAAAAGCTTAAAAAACTGAGTGAAAATCACCTCAAATCTCAGAGGTGGCCCCTGGTGACATTTTGGTGACCATCTCTCCAGTGCACGTGACGCGCACCATGCACACCTCCATGCACAACCATGACCACAGAATTAATATAACTTTGGCAAGACCGGGGAGGGTCCTGGGGCAAAAGGCCGCAAAGAGAAGGCTATGACGTCATCTTCTAATGAAGGTTGTTGCCTCAGGACATCTGGGAGGCAATAATGATGATGAAAGGATTAGCATTGGGCATGCAGAGAGGAAAATTGAAAGGCTGAGGTCTCAGGGCGATTGAAGGAGGTTTAAAAAACATGATGGTTAAGAAATCAGAGATACACAGGGGGGAAAAAAAAAGCAGGAATGGGAAGATTGTTGGGAAAGAATCAGGCTGGTTTATTTAAAACTCTGTTGCCCCAGGGGCGCCTGGGCGGCTCAGTCAGTTAAGCATCCAACTTTGGCTCAAGTCATGATCTCATGGTTCATGGGTTCAAGCCCTGCTGACAGCTCAGAGCCTGGAGTCTGCTTCAGATTCTGTGTCTCCCTCTCTCTCTGCCCCTCCCCTGCTTGTGCTCTGTCTCTCTGTCTCTCAAAAATAAATAAATGTTTAAAAAAAAAAAACCAAAAACCTCTGTTGCCCCAAACTCTGTGGTTTATTCATTCATTAATTCAATGAACATTTATTGATGCCTATTATGTGTCATCACATCCTAGTAGCTAAGGATTGCAAAGGTGAATGAGCCATGCCCCCAGTCCCCAGGGAGCTTGTGGTCAGCTGAAGGAAAGAGTGACCTGATAATTAGGGTTCAGCATGATGCCAGTTCTGAGAGGGGAAAGCATGCAAATGGAGAAAATTTTCTAGAGAAGGGCCAACCAAGCTGGCATCTGATGGATGAATGGGAGTTCTCCAGTTTGAGGATGAGTGGGACGAGATGGGGAGAGTGACCCAAGGGGAACAAAATTTGCAGAAGTTTGAAAGTGAGACCAGTCACTGGGGTAATTGATATGAGATCCAGGAAGCAAGGGGGTAGGGAGAGTGACAAGACAGGGAGAAAAGAAACAGTTCTAATCCAGGAGAACAGTAGCTTTTAAATCTTTTTGATTGCCCCATGGTAAGATATGCATATTCTATTTTGGCCCTGTATAATCATGCATGCGTGTGTGTGTGTGCACGCATGTGTGTGTATCTGAAGCAAAGGTCAGAAAAGCAATATTTCACCCTGCAGCATGCTATTCATTCTGATATTTTGTTCTATTTCGTTTTAAAATGTTGGCCAGGGGTGAAATAAGCTGACCACAAAATAACCCACATCGTATGATTTCATTCCTATAAAATTCTGTTAACAGGCAAAACTAATCTACAGTGGTATAAATGAGATCAGGGGTTGTGTGGGGGTGCGGTCTGGGTGGCAGCAAGATTAACTGCAAAGAAGTGAAAGAGAACTTTCTCAAGAGATGGAAAATTTCTATATCTCGACTGGGGTGGTGGTTACATGGGCACATGCATTTGTCAAAAACAAATACATAAAAATAAACGCATGCGAGAGAACTTTCTTGGGTGGTGTTGCTGTGCTATATCTTGATAAAGGATTTGCATTGCACAGGTGAACGCATTTGTCAAAACTCACCAAACGGCACACTTAAGATCTGTGCCCTTCATTGTATGTAAATTTTACATCAAAAAAGAAGACAAACTGTGGACAAACACTGACCTGTAGTTGGTGAGGTAGGTGCACGCTGAAGGATTAGGAGGAAGTATTGTGGTGTCGGCAGCAAACCATTTTGAAATGGGGAGAGCCGTGTGCAGATGGACAGATAGGTGATGAACGTACAGTAAAATGCTAATGCATGTCACTCAGTGAAAAAAGACTAGCCTTTTTCGTTCCTGATGCTGGAATAACTGGACATCCACCTGCAAAAGGATGAAGCTGGATCCCTACCTCACATCATATCCAAACATTAATTCAAAATGGATCAAGGACCTAAACACAAGAGATACACTATAAAACTCTTAAGTGAAGACATAGGGTGTGCATCTTCCAGACCTTGGGTTAGGCAACGGTTTCTTAGCTATGACACAAAAAAGTACAATCAACAAGAGAACAAAAAAAAAAACCAAAAAAAAAAACAAGGAAACTTGATATCGTCAAATTGCAAAGCTTCTGTGGTTTGGAGGATGCCACCAAGGAGGTGGAAAGACAATCCACAGAATCAAAGAACACTTTTGCCAACCCTGTATCTGATAAAAGGCTTGTCTCTAGAATGTGTCAGCAACAATTGCACCTCAGTAATAACAATACGGGTGACTCAATTTTGAAATGGTAAAAGATCTGAACAGACAGTTGTCCAAAAAAGATACACAAGTGGCCAACAAGCACAGGAAAAAAAAATACTCAACTTCATCAGGGAGATGCAAATCAAAACCACCATGAGGTACCTCTTGGAACCCACCAGGAGGACTATTATCAAAAAGACAGACAAGAGTGAGCGTTGGTGAGGATGCAGAGAAATTGCAGTTCCGTATGCAGCTGGTAGAGACGTCAGAGAGTACAGCTACTTTGGAAAACAGGCTGGCAGTTTATGACCCAGAAATTCCACTCCTGGGCATATAAGCAAGAGGAGTTAAAACTTGGGTCCATATGAAAACTTGTACGCAAATGTTCATAGCAGCTTTATGTGTAATAGCCAAAGGGGCAGAAACGATCCAGATGTTCATCAACTGACGGCGGATAAATAAAACGTGGCATGGATGAACCTTAAAAACATGATGCTAAGTGAAAGAAGTCAGTTGCAAAGGATCCCGTGTTGTGTGTTCTATGAGTAGGAAATGCCCACAGTAAGCAAATTCAGAGTGATAGAAAGCAGATTAGTGTTGCTAGGGCTGGAGGTGGGAAGGGTGGAGTAGGAGGCTGAGGGTTGAGGGGTGCAGGATTTCTCTGGGTAGATGAAGGTGTTCTAAAATTGATTGTGGTGAAGGTTGCACAAGTCTGTGAGCATACCAAAGCAATCGAGTTGCACACCTTTAATGAACGAATTGTAGGATTTGCATACCGCATCTCAAGAAAGCTGTTCAAAAATGTCAACATAGGGCCCCCTGGGTGGCTCAGTCAGTTAAGCATCTGACTCTTGATTTCGGCTCAGGCCGTGATCTCATGGTTTGTGAGTTAGAGCCTCACATCGGGCTCTGGGCTGACATCATGGAGCCTGCTTGGGATTCTGTCTCCCTCTCTCTCTCTGCCCCTTCCCTGCTCGCTCTCTCTCTCTTTCTCAAAATAAATAAAAATAAACTTACAGGCTCCTGGGTGGCTCGGTCGGTTAAGCGTCCGACTTCAGCTCAGGTCATGAGCTCACGGTTCGTGAGTTTGAGCCCCACATTGGGCTCTGTTTTGACAGCTAAGAGCCTGGAGCCTGCTTCAAATTCTGTGTCTCCCTCTCTCTCTGCTCCCCCCCCCGCTCATGCTCTCTCTCTCAAAAATAAATATAAACATTAAAAAAATAAACTTAAAAAATGTTAACATAGATATAAAAGAAACATTTGATAAGTTGCCCTTAACCCAAATGAAACACTTTTGCTCTTCAAAAGACACTGCCAAGAAAATAAAAAGATCTGCCACAGAATGGTAGAAAATATGTGCAAATTATATACCTACGAAAGGACTCGCATCCATAGTATACAAAGAACTCTCCAAACTCGATAAGAAAACAACTAAACATTTTTAAATGGGCAAAAGGCTTGAACAGGCATTTCACCAATAAATATAAACATATGGCAAATAAGCACATGAAAGGATGTTCAATGTCAGCAGTCATTTGGGAATTAGAAATTAAAACCACAATGAGACAGCACAACACACATTAGAATGGCTCACATTTTTTCAGTGTACTGACACTACCGAGTGATTGCGAGAGCAGAAACAACTGGAATTCTCATACATTGCTGGTGGGGAGGCCAAATGACAGTCATTTAGAAAATAGTTCGGCAGTTTCTTATAAGGTAAAACATGTTTTACCATATGACCTACTGTCCTACTCCTAGGTATTTACTCTAGAGAAACGAAATGTCTTCATTTCTGTCTGCAGGGGTGCCTGGGTGGCTCAGGTGGTTAAGCGTCTGACTCTTGACTTTGGCTCAGGTCACGATCTCGTGGTTCACGGGTTCGAGCCCCGTGTTGGGCTCTGCATTGACAGAGCAGAGCCTGCCTGGGATTCTCTCTCCCTCTCTCCCTGCCCCTCCGCTGTTCGCTTTCTTATTCTCTAAATACATACATACATACATACGTAGAAAAATCTGTCTGCAGATGTTTACAGTGACCTGATTTGTAATCACCAAAAAATAGAAACAACCCAAATGTGCCTCAGCTGGTGGTGAATGGATACATAAACTTGGGTACATCCATACGAGGGAACACTGCTGAGCAGCCAAAAGGAACAATCCTCTGATGCACACAACACTACAGAAAAATCTCCAATGGGTTGTGTGTTATGAAAGAAGCCATACTCAAAATGCTGCATACTGTATGACTCTCTTTCCATGACAAGCTATAGGGAGAGAATAGATCAGAGGTTGCCAGGAGCTGGGGGTGGAAAGAAGGGTCACTGCCAAGGGGCAGGTGAGAATTTTGTGGATTAAAGGAACAATTCTGGAAAAAATAGTTTCAAACAGAGAGGGAGGGAACCTATAAGAGACTCTTAAATACAGAGAACAAACTGAGGGTTGATGGGGGGGGTGTGGGGAGAGGGGAAAATGGGTGATGGGCATTGAGGAGGGCACTTGTTGGGATGAGCACTGGGTGTTGTATGTAAGCGATGAGTCATGGGAATCTACCCCCGAAGCCAAGAGCACACTGTATACACTGCATGTTAGCTAACTTGACAATAAATTATATTTAAAAAAAATAAACAGGCACAAAAACAGACACTCAGATCAATGGACCAGAATAGAGAACCCAGAAATGGACCCACAAATGTATGGCCAACTAATCTTTGACAAAGCAGGAAAGAACCCAGAAATGGACCCAAAAACAATCCTAAAATTTGTATGGAACCAGAAAAGACCCCGAATAGCCAAAGCAATCTTGAAAAAGAAAACCAAAGCAGAAGGCATCCCAATCCCAGACTTCAAGCTATACTACAAAGCTGTAATCATCAAGACAGTATGGCACTGACACAAGAACAGACACTCACATCAATGGAATGGAATAGAGAACCCAGAAATGGACCCGCAAACGTATGGCCAACTAATCTTTGACCAAGCAGGAAAGAATACCCAATGGAATAAAGACAGTTTCTTCAGCAAGCGGTGCTGGGAAAACTGGACGGCGACATGCGGAAGAGTGAACCTGGACCACTTTCTTACACCAGACACAAAAGTAAACTCAACATGGATGAAAGACCTCAATGTACGACAGGACGCCATCAAACTCCTCGAGGAGAAAGCAGGCAA